ACTCTATTAAATGTACCTATTGTTCTATTAATTGCACTTTATAACTGCGTACAAGTAACGAACAAAGAGCAATGAGGCACGAAAACCCACACTTCCCAGTACAAGAAATATGCCGAAACAGACGCATGCCATATAGCCGAAGAAAAAAGAGATCTGCATGAAACTATTCATGTATGATCTCTCAAAATAATAATAGATACAATAAACATATATATACAATCCAGTAGAGCCTCCACACAGAAATGACCTGTGTCAAATAAAGAACTCTTATTAGTTGTAACTTATAAATTATTAGCTCATGCATGCATCTAACAATTCAAGACCATAATCAGTTATCACACCAACTATATATTTAACATACCTCCACCACCATTGATGATCTTCAACTGCAAGCTGGAAATATGTAAGTGCCACATAAACTAAAGCAGCCATGATCAGAAGAAGAAGGAAGACTATGGACATAATACTATAAAGTGTATAAACGCGATATCCCCAAACACTTGTAAATATGTAATACAACTGAATATAGATGACACTGAAAGGCAAAATTCCTCCTAAAGCCATCTGAGGGAGAACAACCCTATACCAACTCAACTTAGGAACCTCTCTAGGAATTTTGGCTGTTTTGCAGGGAACTTGGAATTCAGACATTTTTGTTTTCCCAATAATGCCTCCTAAAAGATGCAATGGTGATGCTATGAATATCCACAAGAGAGATAACATGACTATTGCTCTCAGTGGCGATGCAGTAGTTGATCCATAATAAATGGCAACATTGTCTAGGAAAATAAAAGTAAGAAAGAGAGGCCCCAAAATATAATCCTCCTGCCACTAATAGGTTTTTTATCTGTAAGGGAGAAATAAAGACAGCCAATCAGTATTAACCTTTTTATGTGAATAAAAATTGATCAAATTGTATAAGTTTCAAACCAAGTTTCATATTTTCACATACCCAATTGGTTCCTTCGAGTTGAGAATAGAAGGAAACAGAAGTATATCCTGAGACCACAAATGTAACTGCATATACAATGATAAGTGCGTTCCAGATTATTCCTCGCATATAGGGCTGAAAAACACCTAGGAGCCTAAGAGCAAGAATTGCTATGATCCTTCAATTTCAACAAAAGAAAGGTTAGAAAAGTAATTTAAGATGCACCCCCCAAAAATCATATATAAAAAGTTAAAAACCATAAAATAAAGTGAAACCCACAAAAATGACAAAAATGGTATTGGTCATTTAACAAAATTGCTTTTGAATGTTCCCACCACAAAAAAATATTTAAATAGAAAAATAATATTTCCGAAGAAATCATATATTTCGCAATTTATGAATGTTTATTTTGCAAGATAAGACTCGATTTCGCGTATTATTTTTCTCAGAAAATAATGTTTTCCAAATTAGTTAAGGTTTTTCGTGGTGAGGCTACTAAAAAGCAATTTGGCAATTTGCAATGGAACTATGGCAAAATCAGTGGTCATTTTTAGCAAAAAGTCAAAAGATCAGACATATTTCACATTGTTTGGAGATACTAACATTAATAACAACTGGCTGCTAACACCAAGAGCCACAGCAAATAAAGACTTGTGTTGTGGGAATTTAAATACATCACCATGAACATTCTTCCATCCTATCTCTTCTTGCTTATTCAAACTCAATATATCCTCTTCCACATCAGCTAAGTTCCTTTCATTTTTCATGCAATGGGAAAACAAGAAAGGCAACAAAAGAGTTATTCTATTTGACAAACATAACAAACACAATAAGTTGAATATGCAAACTTATTTTTTGTGAGTAGAATCAATACTTAGAAATGTCTTTGCGAAGGACCAGTAAGTAAAATGTAAGTAAGGAAACGATCAGAATGACGAGTGTGACACTTGAGAATGTAATTGAGTGATGATGTATCGGCATGTTGTGAGGTAAAATGGTAGAATCAGTGTATATCTCCATTCTCCTATCAAATAATTGTTGTGTCATTGTCCACTTAACAGAGTATGTGAAGCCCACATCAACTTCCTTGTCTTCTGTAATGTCTGTAAATGAATTTGCCATTTGTAGAATGACCTCAATAACTTGATCCTTATTATAAAAAACCTCGAAATCAAAATGTTTGTAAAGGGAATACACTGTCTTGATCCTTCCATTAAAAATTCCCTCATTTCTCATTCCTATAAAAGCCCATATTGGCAAGTCGTCATAGTGCAATTGCATATAGTAGTTCTTATCTATAGCCCTTATGAACTTAGAAACATCTGTTTTACTCAGTGTCTTATTGCATAATACTTCTAAATCTTTATCCACGAGGAATTCAAGTGAATATGGAGTTGAAACAAGACGATCTCCATTCAACATCTCTCCTAAATTAAGCTTCTTCTCTTTAACAACATCTATTATTAGATAAAAAAAATGTATGTGAGGAATAAGTAACTAAATATGGAGAGTTAAAATGATTGAAAGAGAACAAAAGGAAGACCCAACACATTCACGAAAGATGTACCTCGAGAACAAAATGGAAGTTCATAATAAGCATATGTTTCTCTGAAAACAAAGTAAACAAGAATAAGAAGGAACACACAAAAAAATAAATAGAAAGGAAAAATACTTTGGAGGAAATGTGTCTAACCTAGAATTACGGAATGGGCCAATTTTGTTGGCATAGAAGGGGACTGTATCACCTTCACTGTAGCGGTGATCATTGGCATCTGATTCTACTTGGATTCCAAGGTAGATCAGTAGAAGCATAAGAGAAGGGTATTTTCGTAACTTTACCATTCCTGTTGATCTATAAATAAAAGTGAAAAAACATGAGCAACTGTTATACCAAAAATCAAATATATTATAACGAAAGCATCTTGCAAGTAATACAAAACTGGTATTTAAGTTGCACAAGTATACCATATTGTTTTGCATCAAAAAGTTACAAGAATCTTTGTAGATTTTGGAAAAGTTGAAGATTGGACTCAAAAGAATTTTGGGTTATGTATGTTATAGAATATTTTGGTTGCCTAGTTTCTCATTGTTCCATAAACAAATAAACAAATTGTTCAATCTGCTATGCCTCACAGTACACAATTAGGCGTTTATCTATACTTCTTTCAAAGCAATGGAGTACAGGATAAATGAATGTAATTGTTGCGAAGGAAACAAAAGCCAAGCTATAAGGTGAATCGTAGTATTAAGATATGAACAATCAAACATAAGTAACTATCCAAAAAAATAATTCAATTGTAATTTACTGGAGAGCTAACAGAGACAACAGAATCAAACATCAAACTATAATTGTCAAGTAAATACCAAGAACGTGGGATGATCAGTGATGGAGAAAGAGAGGAGTTTTTACAGTGAAGGAGGAGGATGCGGTGATGGAAAATGTCTTAACTGGTTGGAAACCAGAAGTATTGTTGGGGATGGAGAGACGACTTTGACTTTGAGTCTTCCACTCTCTTCAGCCGACTGTTAAGTTCACTAGTCTCATATGTTGGTCGTTATTTGTTCAATAATTTTGAGGAAGTTACAACTTACAAATGTTCAATTTTTTTTATAATGTTTTGAGTAAATTACACGAATGGTCCCTATGGTTTGGATTAACTTGTGTGTCTTGTCCCTAACTTATTTTTTTAACTCGTAAGAACCCTATTTTTCTTTCACGTTCGGTGTCTCGTCTGAGCTAAAAAGACGATTGTGCTGAGAGTTAGAACCGGAAAACCGGACCGGAACCGGAATCGGAACCGTTAGAACCGGAATATGTAGAACCGGTCTGGGTCCCGGGTTTAAATAATGGCTTTATCCGGGTTCTGGGTAATCCGAGTTTCGGGTCCTATGGATCCGGGTAAACCGGGTTTAAGAACCGGAACCTGTTTTTATGAAAAGTTTAAAACATGAATATCTCATTCGTTTGAAGTCGGATTGACATTAGGTTTTTTCCAGAGTGTAGTTTATAGTTTGGACATGATTTTAGACTATAATTTTGTCATTTTTGAGTTAATATCCGTTGACTTACAGTCCACCAAAGTCGGGATATCAAAGCTGTGAATTTTCTGTTTCAGCTTTATTTTTATATTTTGTGAAATTTTAAAAATGCATATATAATTCGTTTGAAGTCGGATTATCATGAGGTTTTTTTGCAACGTATAGTTCAGAGTTTCTAAATGATTTTAGACTATAATTTTGTCATTTTTGGTTTCATATTCATTGACTTACAGTCCCCCAAAATTGGGATATCAATGCTGTGAATTTTCGGTTTTTTCAGCTTTATTTTTATATTTTGTGAAATTTTAAAAATGCATATCTAATTCGTTTGAAGTCGGATTATCATGAGGTTTTTTGCAACGTCTAGTTTAGAGTTTATACATGATTTATACTATAATTTTGTCATTTTTGGTTTCATATTCATTGACTTACAGTCCCCCAAAGTTGGGATATCAATGTTGTGAATTATCTGTTTTTTTAGCTTTATTTTTATATTTTGTGAAAATTTAAAAATACATATCTAATTCGTTTGAATTCGGATTATCATGAGGTTTTTTCCAACATGTAGTTTAGAGTTTGTAAATGATTTTAGACTATAATTTTGTCATTTTTGGTTTAATATTCAATGAATTACAGTCCCCCGAAGTTGGGATATCAAAGTTGAAATTTTTCAAAGTTCAACCACTAAGTAATTACCAAAAAATTACGGATATCCCGGTTCTAGACCCACTTTATCCGGTTTCACCTGACCCACTTTAATGTTTCCGGATTTTCCGGTTCTAGACTCACTTTACCCGGAACCAAACCGAAACCGGTTCCTATATATCGGTCCGGTTTCCGGTCCTACAAAATCCTGTTTACCGGTTCCCGGGTTTTCTGGGTCCGGGTTTGGACCAACTCTCATCCCTAGTTCCCATTGATGATTCTTTTTTATTTTTTGTTATTTTTTATCATTTTAATATAAAAGAAAAAAAAATTAAGCTTCACATCCTCAGCTATAGACGGATACACCATATCTTTCTCTCTCATTTAACATAGCAAACCTTACACGTCATTTTCTTGTTCTATGCCACCAACCACTCGCCGATGAAATTAATCCATTTCAAGACCTGAAAACAATTTATGTCCAAATATCTGGTGCTAATTTGTACAACCTAGATCTAAACCAAAGCCTTAGCGTCACCGTCATCATTTTTGTAACAACATCGGATCCACCGTCGGAGAAAACCAACAGGGTTTGTCACCTACCTATTCATCGTCAGAGTAAACCACTAGAGCGAGAAAAGGAGAAATAGAGGTAAGCCTTGAAGAATCGATATGAGATCTAGGTTTCAATTGTCCATTGTTTTGTTGATGTTGGTGTCGTGTGCTAGCAATGTTTCGAAGCAGGAAATCAAATAATTTGGGGATGGATTTCTGCTTAGAATTTTTATTCTGGTTTCGATTTTTGATTCCAGTATGATTGGATTGAATGTCTGGTGTGAATGAATTGATTTTGGTTTCGATTTTAGATTTGATTTCCTGTTCGATTTAATTTTCGGTGGTTGTCTCATCTGTTGCCGGTTAATGAGCTTTTTGTTTTTATTTTCATTACAAGACCCGAAAACAAGATTTGTTCAATAAGAACATGGGTTGTGGTGAGTTGGTATGAAATATGGAAGATATTGACCCATTTTTAAATCCTTACACTATTTAAAAATGGTTTGAAAACCATCTATTGGAAACCATCTATTGGAAGTTATCGTTCAAAAAAAAAAAAAGATTTGTGCAGGTATATGATGTTGATTTATGCAATCTAGACTTGATTTTGGTATTAATTTTAGATTTGATTTGCGTTTTGGGTTTAAATTGTGGTTTTGATTTTAGATTTTATTTCTGGTTTGAATGGATTCCATGTGGTTTTTATTTTCAAGTGTGAGAGGTGGTGGTTATTTGCTTCGATGGTACATATGATGGGGCTGTAGAGGTGGTAGTTTCTTCCAGTGGCATTTTACTTCGTCAAAGAGAGGAAACTGGGTGAAAGACTAGAAGGATAAAGGGAAGGTGTTAATTTTCTAGATTAATCATAAATTTATAATAATAAATTACAAAAGAAACACATAAATAATGATATTAATTAAAAATCAATTAATAAGGACACAATAGTGTAGCTACCTTCCGAGTTAAAAAAGAATTGTTAAAAAAGAATTGTTAGGGACTAAACGTGCAAGTTACTTCAAACCATAGACCATTCGTGTAATTTACTCTAATATTTTTAAGGGGAAACCCTAGAAAAACCTTACCTATTATCAAGGTTGTAAAAATCGCTCGACGGTCGACTGGTGTTAAGGGATTAATATCGGAGACCATAGATTATTAATAAAATATTAAAATTAATTAAATATTAATATATCTTAAGAAAAACAAGTACTTCAAAATTAGAAAATAAGAAAAATTGTAATTTAGAAATTTGAAAATACGAAAATATAAACATTTTGGTATAATATTCGAAATTTTGGAGCAAAAAAAAGTTGGTTTTTGAATTTTTTTTAAATTTTTTTAAATTCTTTTGACATTTTTTGACTTTTTTCGAATTTTTTGACTTTTGTTGACGGATTAATCCCGCCAAGGCCGATTAATCCCGCCAAACCAGATTAATCTTAAATTTCCGATTAATGTCCTAATCCTCGACGGTTGGAGAACGCCAAACGATTAATCCACGATTAGTCACCGATTAATCCCGATTTCTGCAACCATGCCTATTATCCTCTAATACACAAAAAAATCATTAAGCTATTTTTATTTACAATAAAACCATTTTATTTGTTGATCATGTCTAAAATAATGCTTGGAAACCGACAAACCATTGAAATCCGATTACCTAGCATTAGTGACTTCATGAAAACCCAACCTATTATCATCTTCTATGCAAAAAAAAACCATTATGTTATTCTCATGTATAATAAAACCATTTTATTTTATGATTTTGTATAATATAACCAATTTATGTTCTGGTTGGGTACAATAAAACCCCTTTTTGTTCTGATTTTGTACAATAATTAATTATATTTCCTTTTATGTGACATGCTCTTCTCTTGAGAAGGGATGAGCGATAAACTTTTCATTGATTCATGAAATAAATTACAGGTTATAAATAATACAATCTAACCCCAAACCTATTTGATCTCGAATAAAATGAATGTCAATCTTTATGTGCTTCATGCACTAACGACGGACAATAATCGAGTTCTAGTATACAATATTAAAGTTGTCACAATAAAAAAAAATGGTGGGTGGCCTTCGTGTTAGTGCAATGGAGTTAGTTGTAATACCCGTTTTTCCTAACATGTATTATTCAAAGGAGTATAACTTCTTTACGAGACAAGTAGGAGAAATAAAGCATGGAGTTTGCTTTTAGTTGCTTATAGAAGATATATTGGTGTTAAGCACTACTAGAAAAACAACCTTTTACGATGCGCAATGCGTGTCGTAAAACGCTCAGACGACGCTCAAATGCGTGTCAAGGAAGGCTCTGTCATAACGAGAGACGACACGCTTTTGTGCGTCGTCTATAGACGACGTGCATTTACGACACGCATTTACGACACTCATTTACGACACACAATGCGTATCAAGGAACAGGGACGGTTTTAAGGGGTTCCCGGTGTGGCACCGGCAACCCCTAACTTTTCTGGCCGCAGAGGAAAAATTTTCGATTTTTCGATTTTTTTTACTTATTTTTCATGTATCGGCAACAATTATTCGTCCCGACAACACCTGCAATGTATTCATGCGTCCGTCCCTGTCAAAGAAGGCACTGTCATAAAGGAAGACGACACGCATTTGCGTTTCATAACCTTACGACGCACGTTTAGGACACGTATTGCGTATCATTATAGCCCCTGTCATAAATGAAGCTGACACGCATTTGCGTGTCATAAACTTCAGCAACCATTTACAATATGAATATATGACGTGCCTTCACGATACTCTTTTACGCATAATACAAAAATATATAAAAAAATATATATACCAAAACAATTAATTTCATCCAATAACATCATGTCAAAAAATTGTAATACATTGATATTAAAGGGATCTGATTGTACATTGTTATTAAGTGGTTTTCCCTAACTATATAACCTAATACTACATTGCTATAAAGGGACACCTTCTTGTTTCAGATATCATGTTAAAAAACATCCTCCATATCATTGGTTTGTCATGACCTGGTGTACTGGGCAGCTGTCCACCGGGCATAGATGGCAAGTAGTGACTTGAACATTAGCTGAAACATCATGCATGTCACCAACAACTCCAGTAGGTATGCACATATAGAATATTCTCAGCCATGTGGTTCTCTATAAAAAAAAATGGATATAAAGTTTAGCTATTG